GATGGTTTATGGAGCCACGACGGTTGGCAACCGGCAGGGAAGATCCTACGTTCTCCTGACGGGTTGTAGCCGACGGGAAAGATTTAGATTTTCCCTGACGGTTTCGAGACGACAGGAAAGATTTGGATTTTGCCTGATGGTAGGTGACCGACGGGGAAAGTTTCCGTGATGGCAGATGAAAAACTGACACCGAAGATCTTCCCTGACGGCTCTAACCGTCAGGAATCAATCGCTGACGGATTTCCGTCAGGGAAAGTGGACTTTCCCTGTCAATTCATTCTTGACGGCTTATCCCTGACGGTTACCGTCACGGATCACTTTCCCTGACGGTATTAGCCACTTTCCCTGACGGTGTCGGCCGTCAGGAAAGAAATTTCCTGGGGTAGTGCTTGAAGATCTTAAAGTCACCTGTATTGATCTGAACGAACTGCTTCTACAAGATGATTACTGCTTGTTCTTATTGTCACACTCATTTCCTTCATGGAAGATGATTCCTAGTCGTGCTTCAGAATTGCATGTGCTGATCGAGGAAAGATGGCATGGGCTTGATGCTATGTGTACCCATTTTTCTGTTGAACGAGTCAATCTGTCATCAAAGAGATCATGTTGGAAGCAAAAACGGAAAATAGCATTGACACATGCTGATCTCCTTGCATGTATACCATCTAAATAGTGGCTTATTATCAGTTGACCTGTAATCAGGTACTTACTGCTGCACCATCATAGCTTAAATACAGTGATAACTCTTCTTGATGTAATTTCTTTTTGAACTATTCTAGTTATGGGTACCATCTAGTTATTGCCCGTGATTGAACAACCTTTGTTTTAACAAGCAAGGGGTTTTCCATTTAATTCTTTCTATTTTTTGCAGGATTAATTAGCTGTCGTACCTGGGGTTCTCTGTTGGTGATTGGGTTGACAATCCAAACAAACAGTATATGCCAAGATGATTACTATTGACTCTAGTTGGAAGATAGATTTCTAAGGTAAGACATCCAATATGTACTTGGAATCTGACAATTATCATGATGTACCAGATCTAAATGCGTAGCTAATGGAAGTATTACTAGAGGTTATATATGTGCAACATGTCATACTTCTCTAGATTGATAACATCCAATGTAGTGTACCTTAGCTTACAACACTTGAAAGAAAAAAATAAAATGGGACAAGAAGCTAAGACAGGGTCGATCTATACCTCAATACTTCACCTTACTACACACCTTCTCAACCTGCACCGTCATGTACCTAGTGTGTTATTAGTTTCTAGTATACATGTGAATGGACAGTGACATCTAATTAAGAGGTGGATGAATTAGACAACTTTAAAGCTACTTGGCTTCTAAAACCTATCAAAACCTATGCAAGATACTTTTCTAGATATGCACTACGGTTTTGCTAAGTGTTGTTATCTCTACTGTAAAAAAAGAGGTTTCAATCCTATCAACTAGCCTAGCAAGCTAAACTAGGAAAGGTAAGCACACAACCTAGAAAAGCAATTATGTGCGGAAAGGTAGAGAATACAAACTCCGGTTGACAGCAGTATTTTTCCCGATGTATAGAGATGCACATGATTCCTCCTAGTCCATGTTGGAGCCCCTCACAAGGGCCAAGTTCCCGGTTGAGTAATTCCATGGATAGCCCCCTGGCCTTTCCCACACACAAGTGGGTCACTGAGATGGTCTCTCCCAGACGGCTCCCTGCCATTTTCACTATCGTGTTTCTGACCAAACAGCCTAGGCCACATGTTGCCTTAGTACAATATTGGCCGCCTCTCCACCACTCGGAGGGTCCCGCAAGACTACATGTCCCTAGTGTGCAACTCTTTGTGTGTGCAAGCATCGCTAGTTTGGAGGTATGCAAACCTCATTAAACATTAGATGTAAGCCTAATGCCTAGCCATTTAAATATGGTTGCATGCGTGCAGTACTCACTAGAGATGTCCAGTGCTGTCACCAGAGAGTTCTAGTGCCACTTGGACTAGCCATTGGAGTGGACCATTGGCTTCCCTGGAACTCTGATGGGTATTCTTTCCCAAGCTGTTTATTAAAGTAAAGATGAGTTGATCATCTGAACAAACTTCTTCTGTTGATATTTATGCCCATTAATTTTTCCCTTTTGGAAGATACAGTTTGTAAGGTAAGTGCAATAGGTGTGCTTCTCGATATTGTTTCGTTGCTTCCATGATGTTCTTGTTTTTCCAAAGAAATGTTTCCTTCTTTTTGTGGATCTGTTGGTACTTCTATCCATGTTGTCACTAGGTCAAAATTCTGATACAACTTTTAAGCTAGTATTTTTTTCCAATAAGGAAAGAGAAACTGCCTTGACTGTTTTTTATAAAAAAGACAATAAGCCCATGAACTGGTATGGCGACAATCCAAACAAAAACTTTTACCCATGCTTTAGCATTGTCAAGGTGTTGGTATTGCCAAAGTTTGGTTCCCGAGAAGATGGTCCACATACCGATGAAAGTCATCTATTTCTTATTTTTTGAAACAAGGTAGTCAACTTTATGCCTTTATCTCAATTAGTGGCGGATCTAGGCATTAGCTGTAGGGCCACCTGCCACCACAACTTTTGCAAAAAATACGTTTTACCATCCTTACAAATTTGCAATTATACATGTCAATACTATTAATTGATTTAATATCTACAAGCTTGGCTCCATAGGTTTTTAATCGTAGATCCACCACTCAATGTTCTTCTAGTTACCAAGTAAAAAAAATATAGATCTCTGATAGCTGTTGGACAACCTCCAACTTCTTGATGGGAAAGGGTCAAAGCCCATTTCAAGAAAAAAATGATAATGATGTACATTAAAAATACTCGAGGTTTTGTTGTGTCATGCTAACTAACATGCAGATGGGTTTCTTAAGCTACCATTTCAATACCTCACCATGCAACTACATTTGCAAATGCTATTTTCATTCGTTCTGGATTTTTGCTATAATTGAATCAAAAAGCTACTTCTTGACACCTAAACACATGATTGGTATTATGCATAATTAGAAGGTATATATAGATATTTAGATTTTGTAGCTGCACTACTCTGACATGCAATATGCAAAGGTGATGATTACACATCTGCAAAAGAGACCACCACAAGACATTCAAAGTTTATTAACATAGTCAAAATTTTAGGTGGACTTTTTTAATCTCTCTACAGTCACAAATTTTGTCCAGTTTGTCCAATATTTATGACATCTTAATATCTGTTTTCATTAACTACCAGCCTACACCACTGCAAGTTTTCCGTTCTCCAGAATAAGGTCCTCTGGGTGCATCTCAATCATTCATTTCGTCTGATGGCAAACATACTTGATCCTATTGTTGGATCATGTGCCAAGGAATTACAAGATATAATAACAGAGAAGGCTGTAATGATTCTAGGGGTAAAAGAAGAGCTCAGACAAATGCAGAGAACAATGAAACAAATACAATGCTTTCTTCATGATGCTGAGCAAAGGACAGAAGAGTCAGCGGTTAACAACTGGCTTGGAGATCTGAAAGATGCAATGTATGAAGCCGATGATATAATTGACTTGGCTAGATTAGAAGGAAGCAAACTGCTAGCAGACCATCCTTCATCATCTAAAAATGTTGCTTCATGTACAGGCTTCTCATTTCTATCTTGCATTCATAATATTCAAAGACGTCAGGCCATTGCCGTTCAAATAAAAAACTTCAATGTTGAACTTGAGAGGATTTCAAAGCTGGGTGAAATTTTTTTAATGCTGAAGAATATGCAACCTAAAGAGGAGAGTTCAGTAGTGAGGCAGATCAAAACTTGTGAGCTTGTGGAGCCTAACCTTGTCGGAAAGGAAACTTTTCTTGCTTGCACAAGATTGGTGGAACTGATTCTTGCACATAAAGAAGATAAGTCATACAAGATTGGCATTGTTGGAACAAGAGGTGTTCACTACCACAGAACGGAATTTTCTTGGCGGCCAAAAACCGCCAAGGAATATAGGAAAACCGCCAAGGAAATGTTTTTTGGCGGTGCACCGCCAAGCATGAACCGCCAAGTTTGGATTGCAAGGAAAATAGAGTTTCCTTGGCGGCTGGCCCTCAAGCAATGTTTTCTTGACTGCCAACCTGCCAAGAAAAACATGGACATGTAACAACCGACAAGAGGACAGGAAAATGAGTAGACCGACAAGTAAATACATTTTCTTGAGGGTCATACACCATCAAGTAATCATATTTCCTTGGGGGTGCTTGACCGCCAAGTAATTGCATTTTCTTGAGTGCTACTTAGCGCCAAGTTAAGGGTGTATTACTTGGCGGCCTTAAACCGTCAAGAAACCTTGTTTTCCTTGTCTGTTGTCCCGCCAAGAAAATTAATTTTCCTTGCTCCCTTCTCAGCCAAGGCAATACATTTTGCACAAATATGGTAGCCAAGGAAATATGATCTCACCAAGGAAAAGGCAGAAATATTTCACCAGAACAATTAAATCGAATGGATCAAACAATATCCATTAATGATCCAATAGTCATATAGATAATAACATCAGAAAATCATACATAACATGCAACATCCGATGGTTCATTACAAGACCATTTTGCAGATATATACAAAATCTATATGGCAACATTGTTTCATGCCTTCATGTAGCAGCCATGCTTAAGGCAACATTGCTCACTACATTAGCAAAAGGATAGCTGGCACCAGCACCAGTCATGCCTACATGTCAGCAACACATGCTTAAGGCAACATTGCTTACTACATCGATCAACAAAAGGTTAGTTGGTGCGCACTTGCATTTGGAGGGTACCAGCACCAATACACTACAACACTGTTGGTTTCTACCAAATTAGACCAAAAGGAAATCCAAACTGCAGCCTACCAGTCACTTGGAGCCATTGGCGTTACCATGTCGTGTGCCACTCCCATCTGTTGCCACTCTCATCTTTTTGTTGCATGCATGGCCAGTTAAGTGCTCATTGTCACCTTGGACATTTTCAACATCTCTGCAGCCATTGCCATCATTATCCAGTTCCTAGTCAGCATTCTGTAGATTATTGGCTTCATCATAAATGTCATCATGATCATCTTCCTCGTACATGCCATCATCACCTGACATGTCCTCATCAGCTTCATCATCAGTGCTATCCTCATCAGTGTAATCCTCCTCATCAGCGCCATCAACAGTGTAATCATCATTGTAGTTGTAGTTGTACCAACCATTATCAACAGATTCAGAGCCTCCAAGTGATAAACTTGTAGTCTGCAAGAAGCAATATAGTTGTACTCAATATACTAGTTTCCTATTATTAGCAAAACTCAAGTGAACCAATACATATTCCCTAAAAATATCTTTTTTCTAAACACCTAAAAATATCTGTGCAAACAAATTGTGTCATTACTGTTTTTCTTGCTTATTCACATTACACTTTTTGTTTACTCAGTAAAGCATAGAAGAATGAGTTGTCAAGATAAAGGATGATCTTAAGGCCTTATATCAATGTTACTGTTTACATAAAGATTCTCTTTTTGTCCATTTTTACGCCAAGCAAAACTGATCTTGGCTACCTTACCATCAACATAAAACTAAGAATGGCATTTCTAATCAACAAGAAGCCACTTATTCACTGCTGCAACTCGCATTGCCATTCTGCCACCAAACATTATTAAATCTCTAGATGAAATGTCCAGAAAATACAAAGTATGAAACGTGCAAGATAATAAAATGAATGTTGTAACCTGGTTGCGGCGGGCATCAATGTTTGCTAGGCGCTGCAGCAGATCAGCAGGTGGTTCTTTTTTGAAATCCGCATAAATTCTCTACAGTTAAAAAGCACCCACATAAAAATGCATGCATAGGGCGAGTTAAACAGTGTAAATAATAAACAATTTTTACCATGACAAGGTCACGATGGACACCATTTTCCTCAATGAGTAGGCCATTAGTTTCTTTCAATCGCTCATTTTCAGCGATCACACTTCGATACTTATCATGATTGGGTGGCATAACTGATGCTGATTTGGCATGTACTAGAACACATGCCTTATCCACGGCACCATCGCCTATTAGAACACGGCCATGGGGCATTCCACGTGCCATGGTGTACAATGCTTTCCCATCAAGTACTTTTGAATTCTCATCTGGAGCTAGTGCTTTGTAGTCATCCTAAAATGAAGATAAGATGAAATTAAGATGGGCATGTGAAATAAATTATGTTGTAATACATTCAGGAAGTAAACAATCATGCAAAAAAAATATCAATAATAGATAAAAGTATGAAGAGCAGACCAAACGTTTCTGTGCTTTTTGGCTAGGGATTGGACCACTCCTTCCAGTGCTATCCGCATTCTTAATTCCGGATTTCATTACAGAAAATGTGTTTATAGTGCCACTCTGATGCCCAGGCCCAAAAGTATATTCCTGTAAAACCAATAAGAAATTATGCATGAAAAAATGTACTGCAGGTCAATGACTTCAGTAAGACAAAAATGATTTCTCCTACCAGGAATTGTTGTGTCTCTGTAAAATTTCTTGAACCTCCTCTATTTTGAGCAGGATCTTCAGCACTCATGCGTGACTCTTGGGCTCTGTGCCTCTTTTCCTTGTACTCATCAGAAGTTCAGTATTTGGAGAACCAAGCCCAGACTGTCTTATTGCACCATTCAATACGAGCAGACAAGTATTCTGCTTCTGTAAGTTCAATGGTGCGTGCTCGTGTATCATCACAGTTCTCACCCCTTTCATGAAAGAACATCTTGACAGCCTCCAAACGTAGTTGGTATACCATATTGCTTACCCTTCTCACAAGATAGTTCTCTAGATTTTTCTCAGCAACTCTCCTATGGTTGGGATGAACTGTAAACAAACTCTACATATGTAGGACAAGGCAAAGTTACATATGTATAGCCAAGCCAACAAAATATCGAAGTTCTTAAACTAGAAGCTAGATGTTTACTTACCCAGATCACCTGCTTTACTCTCTGAGCATAGCAGACATCATGTTCATTCTTTTTCCAATAATAATCATTCCATGACATTGTTGGCTGTTGTTTAATAATTGTGCCATCATCATCATACACCGTGATAATACCTGGGTACTCCCGTTTTAGAATAGCTCCTACTTGTGATGGGTACTTGTAGCCTCTTGGTGTGTAACCAACATAACTGAATTGACTGTTATAAAACAATTGAAAAGTCAATTATTCCTAGTCATCTTTATACTTCCTTTCAAATAGTTGAAGAATGATAAGAACTATAGTAATATCTAGAAATGAGCACATGCATACTTACCAATGACCAACAGGTTCTAGCTGAACCCTTCCACTGCGCAGAACCATTTTCAATTCTGTTCTGGTCAACTTCCCTCTTCCCCTTTTCGAAGGATTCACATTTAGTTGGGAGTCACCACCTTCACTACCACCATTAAGTTGGGCACCATCACCACTACCATTCTGTTGGGAGTCACCAACATTAGCACTTCTTTCAGAGTTAACACCAGCAGGACTACTCCTTCGAAAGTTCCCACCATCACCTGCAATCCTTCTGGACTGATTTCTATTGGACTGAACACCATCTAGACTGCTCCTTTCAGAGGAGCCACAATCAGCTCTAACCCTTGTGTTATTATTTCTGCTGGACTGAACACCATTTGGACTGCTCCTATCAGAGTTGCCACCATCAGCCCCAACCCTTCTGGACTGATTTGTATTGGATTCAACACCTTGAGGATTGCTTCCGGAGTTTGCACCATGATTACTTCCAGTGTTACTCTTGTGCTTTTTGTGACGAAGAGCATACATCTCCTGCATTATTAGTAAAACAGTTAGTAAGTTGTATATCGCAAGCACAAATGACAGTTAGCATATTTTCAAGAACACGCAACCACACATGTGAATAACATTTTGAGCGCAAACATGGATATGCAATAAGGCATAACAAGTGCACAATTTTATCCCAAAAGGTACACTTGTTTCAAGGAATACAAACTGCTTGCACAACCCCTAAGTAAAGAAAAAGAAGTCAATAATCATCAGGGTCATAAGCTAGATGTTCAGGCAGATCATCAGGGTCCTCTTCATCTTGGTTGTGTTTTCAATCCACTCATTAGAGGGGGCCTGTCCAGGAGACCAACCACTATACATCCATTCCCGGCCTGTCATTACTTTTATTCTGTTTTAAAAAGATGACAAAAATTATATATATTTCAGGTTCTTGAATATTGACACAATTATCAACCAAATATGGCTAGTAGGGCAGAAAAGAAAGAGAAACACAATAATTATCAACACTGTGTCCAGCTTACTACAAATATGCACTCTAACTAATGTCAAACACACAGTTGTTAAGAAAGAACATGATACTTACTGTTACTGTATTTCAAAGTTGTCCACAGAGAATTCCCTTGCACTCCTCAACAATGGAAAACAGATCACATCTACTGAGATCAAACCTGGTAAAAAAAGGCATGATCAGTTTACACATGGGTTCCCTGAAGACGAACACAATCAAGACGAACACATGGGTTCCCTGAAGACGAACACCAATTTCCATGTGAACTATCTAAAGTCCAACCAGATGTTTCAGATAGCAACAATTAATTTGTTTGAATCGAAAGCCTCAAAAGTTTAGAATATCCAATGTCTCTCAGAACTAATTTCAGACCTATGTCCTAGCGCACAGTATGTGTACTAGTAATGATGAAGAAAAACAAAAAAAACAAAATAAGAAAGCCATCCTCACCAGGCTCTGAAGTGTTTGTCTGGATCTACAGGATATTGACCTCTGGAGCTGTCCAGACCATGGACCAGTGCGAACACCAGGGCAGTAGCGTCCAGGCCAACTTGCTACAGAATCCCCACTACGGCAGCAGCGTCCACGACAACACACTGCAGAATCCCCACCACGGCAGCAGCATCCACGGCACTCAGCACCAACACAGTCCAACACGCTGAAGAATCCCCACCACGACGCCAGAGATAGGCTTCACATCATCACAGATCTTGCACGTCTGGGCGTGGGAACACAGGGGATGAGTGGAGAAGCTGACGATGTCAAGCCAAAGGGTGGAGGACACTGATTTCAGAGCTAAGCCATGGAGATCTTGGGACGAAGGTTCGAGGGGGTGGAGAATGGAGAGGGTGGTGCTGAGGGGTGTCGGGAGTGGAAGAGAAGGGCGTTGAGAGGAGGCGGAGGGCGTCGAGGAGAGACGATGGAGGAGGTTGCGTCGAGGGGAGGAGGTGGCGTGGGCGGCAGATGGGTGGCGGTGGCGGGGGGAATTTTGGTCTGTGTTGGGGACGTCCCTGTGTTGGATGAGTTGCCTTTGGGGCGGCGGCGGGTTAGGGTTATACGCGGGAGCCAATTTTTTCAAGGAGAGCGACGGGACTTGGCTAACTTTGGCGTTGGCACCCAAAACATTTCCTTGGCATGGCAGTTAGAAAAATTTATAGTTTCCTTGAGGGTTTTCTTGAAACCGCCGAGAAATATCTATATTTCCTTGGCGGGTCTCACCAACCTTCAAGAAATATATATTTCCTTGACTGTTTTATAGCACCGCCAAGGAAATACCATATTTCTTGGCGGTTTCAATTTGGCCTTCAAGAAAATTCCTAGCCCTCAAGAAATTTCAGGATTGTGGTAGTGGTTGGAAAAAAACAACTTTGGCTCAAAAAATATATAATCACCAAAAAATAAAAGGAACATTTAACAAGCAAGTATGGATTTGTGTTTCTAAAGACTATTCTGAAGACGCTCTTTTGAAAGAATTTCTTCGAAACATTGGGGTAGACTATAAGCAAGATGAAACAGCTGGAGAACTTAGCATAAAGCTTGCGACAGCAGTTCAAGATAGAAGTGTAATTCTTGTTCTAGATGACATTTGGAACCAAGAGGCATGGACTAATCTACTAAGAACGCCATTAAACACTTCACCTACAACAATAATTCTTGTGACTACTCGTAATGATACAGTGGCACGAGCAATTGGTGTGCAAGATGTTCATCGAGTTGAATTGATGTCGGATGACACAGGATGGGAGCTGTTGTGGAAAAGTATGAACATTAATAAAGAGACTGAAGTGGCAAATCTAAGGGGTACGGGTAATGAGATTGTCTGTATGTGTGGTGACCTTCCCCTCGCAATCAAGGTTACTGCTAGTGTTCTAGCAACCAAAGAGAAAACTGAGAACCAGTGGAGGCAGCTTATAAGCAGAAGTGCTTGGTCCATGAGCAATGTTCCCATTGAGCTTAGAGGAGCATTGTATTTGAGTTATGATGACCTACCATGGCATTTGAAGCAATGCTTTCTATTTTGTTCCTTGTATCCAGAAGATTATATCATGTCTCGTAATGATCTTATAAGGTATTGGGTTTCTGAAGGTTTTATACAGGAGCAAGGAGAGCAACTTCTTGAGGGTACATCTAATGAATATTACAATGAATTGATATATAGGAATCTCCTTCAACCAGACCCACGATATGCTGACCATCATTGGTGTAAAATGCATGATCTTTTAAGGCAGCTTGGTCAACATTCGTCACAGGATGAATATTTTTTTGGAGATCCAAAATCATTGGATGCTAAAAATTTATCCAAACTACTGCACATTTCAATTTTTACTGATAGTGATTCTATAACTCTCCCCAAAGAGCACATTAGAGCCCGAACATTGCTTATTCATTGGACCAAGTCTGGAAGAATTGAAAATTCAATATTCAAAAGGCTTTCATGCATTCGAGTTTTGAATTTAACTAGTTCAATTATCCAAAGTGTTCTGGATTCTATTGGGACTTTGATCCACCTTCGATTACTTGATTTTGATGGAACTAACATATCTGATCTTCCCGAATCAATTGGCTCTCTCACATACCTTCAAATACTGAACTTGCAGCGGTGTCCAAATTTGCACAGGCTTCCTTTGGCAATCTCCAAATTATGCAATTTAAGACGACTGGGCCTTGATGGAACACCAATAAAACGGGTTCCAAAAGGGATAAGTGAATTGTAGTCTCTTAATGATTTAGGAGGATTTCCAATTGGTGGTAGCAGTGTTAATAATGACAGAATGCAAGATGGATGGAACCTAGAAGAATTGGATCCCCTTTGGCAGTTGAGAAGGCTTGATATGATCAAACTGGAAAGAACAGTTCCTCCTAGTAAAGATACATTGCTAGCAAACAAAAAACATCTCAGAGAATTATTGCTATGTTGCACTGAACACACACATGAGCCATATTCAGAAGATGCTGTAATCAATATTGAGAAAACCTTTGCTTTGCTAATCCCTGCGCACAACCTAGAGAATCTCAGTTTTGTGAATTTCTTTGGTCGGAGGTTTCCCACCTGGCTATATACTGCTACCCATTTGCCTTCACTGACATACTTACAGCTCATAGACTGCAAATCATGTGTGCATCTTCCACCAATTGGTCAGCTCCCCAACTTGAAATATATGAGAATCGAAGGAGCCACTGCAGTCACCCAGATTGGACCCGAATTTGTTGGCTCTGTGGTGGGTAATCTCAGATCTACAGACGCAATTGCTTTCCCCAAGCTTGAAACATTAATCATCTGGAATATGCCCAACTGGGAGGAGTGGTTCTTTGTTGTTGAAGAAGAAGAACAGGAAGCAACAGGTAAGGAAGGGGGAGAGGATGGGGCTATTGCAAGGGAAATGGAGGAAGCCCTACTTCCAAGGATGCATCTGCTGCCACGATTGAAGGAGTTGGTACTTATCCGCTGTCCCAAGCTGAGGGCTCTCCCATGGCAGCTTGGACAGGAGGCCACCAGCTTGAAAGTGGTCCTTTTAAGAGATGTGCACAGCCTTAAGGTGGTGGAGAACCTCCGTTTCCTCTCGGAGGAATTTGTAATCGTACATCATGAAGGCCTAGAGAGGGTCTCAAATCTCCCCCAAGTGAGATTGCTGCGTGTACAGCTATGTCCCAACTTGAGGTATGTTGAGAGGATGGACAACTTGCACCAGCTGTTTCAGACAGAGGATATGCAATGTATCTCGTCATCACTGTGGCTGCCTGGACTCCAAGAGCAGCATCGACGCCTACATGGAGATGACATGGATGTCTACACATGGACATGATGAACATATAGAAATGCCCAATCAGATGGCTATGAAGATGTAAGGTATAACCATTCGCAGGATTTTTCTAATTTTGTTACATGTTTGTCTAGTCTGCTTTAGCCCTGCTAATGGGTCAGATTCCAACCCGTTCCAAATGTAATTAATTATTTTCTAACCCCATCCCACCCCATTCCAGATCAACTTATACCCAACCCGTCCCAGCCCACTCTGTCCTGGGTTGCCACGGGTTCTGCTACTGTAGGTTGCCATGGGTTCATCTACACTGCTGCTCCGCTTCTCTTGCGTTGAGAACGGAAAGTAGCAAAGGCACATGCAGGAAGAAATCACTGACAATTTTTACTTCAATAAACAGTAGTGAAACTCCTGCACAGCACACAGATTACACGCAGTGTCTGCTAGATTACAGCAGTGAAAAGCAGAGAACAAGCAGATGACTGATGAGATTGCCAAGGTCCACCTGAATAATCAGATAAAAAGACATTCAGATAGTCACCAATAAAGTAATGCTGTCGGATTGGCAAAATAATCCTGCACCCTAACTACTGTCGGTGATATTAATCCATCACACATTCAATTAATAATAACAAACAAAGGCTCAAAAAATGCAAAGAATATGCAAGAATCCATTGCACATTCAACCAATAAGACTCAAGAATCTTGGCCAGATCATTGCAAAATCACAGCTTAAGAAATTGTCAACATCCATATCCCCAAACAGCTCTGGATAGGTGTCCATCATCTTTTACTCGGTAATAACACAGGATACAAAGTTACAGCCCCAAAATTCTATGATGCTCTGGCAGGTGCATAACACAACAGAGAGACTTAACAGAATTATAAAGAATAACAGAGGCTGCATATAGTTTCAAGAATCAAGATGCAGCTAGGTACATGTGAGTGCTCTACCATTACATTGCATAATGGTCCTGGAAAAGCAGGACACAGACTCTTTCGCTCGAATGCCACAAGTTGTGAAATATGCAACACCTTTAGGCCCCCTTTGGTTCACGGGTGAAGCATAGGAATTTCATAGGACGGAGGATTCCTTTGGAATGGCCACTGTTGATGCATTTGGGACACGGGAATGAAGCAGATGAAATCCATAGAAATACTGTGCCAACCCCATGAAAATGGAGGAAACTTAACATCCAATTGGACCTCTTTTTTATGCGAAGACCGAGGCAACTCTCCTTGTTACTCGTGCCAAAGACAGGCAACAGTCAGTAGCAAGAATAAAAAAAGGTATAATGCTGGTGACTAGATGACTAAGAAATTGGATTAATGTTACAAGCATATGTTCTTCCTTTCCTATGTTTCAAACAAACATTTTTATTCCTATCCTCTTGTTTCCCAATCCTCTGTTTTCCACCTGCAATTCTATCCTATCCCACCGTTTTTCCTATTCCTGCGTTTCTCCAATTCAACGTTCCAAAGGAGCCCTTAACTAGATCAGATCCGAATACAAAAGGGAAGCCTAACCTAGGGACTTGGAGATCCAAATACAAGTTGTGAACGTACAGGAAGGGGAAGCAAGGGGCAAGCGAACCTGATGAGTGCTCATTGCCGGCGAAGGGGAGAGCCGGACAAGGCGCAGGAGCGGCGGCGGCCGGCGGTCTCGGCAAGAAGCATTGCACGAGCTGCTTCTTGGCCAGCAGAGGGAGTAGGACCTCAATGCGCTTCGTCTCGGAAGGGGTCAGGGGCGCAGGTACAGGATCTTGGAGTCAGTGGTGTGGGTGCCGCGGCGGGTGCGGCGGCCGGCGCTGACGCCGGCGTCGCCGTCGTGCGACTAGACGCTATCAGAGGATTGGGAAAATGATGCGACAGGATTGAACCCAACCCACGGGTAACCCATACAAACCCGAAAAAAAAGTTAACCCATTCCAACCCATCCCAACCCGATTTGCTAGCAAACCCAACCCATTTGACCTCTGAACCCATTACCACCCATCCGAACAATGACATAACACAACCCAACCCAAAAACTCCAAATATTACCCAACCCATTAGCAGGTGTAGTCTGCTTACGATTATCAGTGCTATGTTTCTTTTTTTCTTTTTCAGGTCATCAAGCGTTGAGGACAGAAGTGACTTGAGCCTCGTGATAATAATATCGTGGTGGGCGAAATTATCCATCAGGTCTCTACGCATCAATCTGGGCAAGAAGAACAGACGTGTGTGTCGTATCATGCGGATGTATATATGGACGCAACGTCGAATGGGCAAGAAACAATGAAACATACTATAATATCGTGGTGGGCGAAATTATCCATCAGGTGTCTTCGGGTCTACGCATGGAGACGTGATGGTAGTCTGGTAGTCGCAATAACCAGTATTGTGTGTATATGACTATAATATGGTACTTCGGTTTTTTGTGAACTAGTCATGCGAAGAACTACGACCATGTTTGGTTGAGCTGTGGCCGTGGGAAAAAGCTGATGTGGGCTGTGAGCTGTGGAAAAGCTACTGTGGGCTGTGAGCTGTAGAAAAACTGAAAGCTATTTGGTTAAACAAGTATAAAATATACCTTTTATCTTTATCTCTCTTGAAACAACTATGGAAGAGTTTTTTATTCCACTAATTTCGAAAAGCAGAAAGCCAAAAGCCAAAAGCAGGGTCAAACCAGCTTTCAAAAATAAACTACGGAAAAGCAGCTGCTTCTGAAAAAGCACCCTCCAAAAGCAGCCCCTTTGGTTGGGCTTTTGGCTTTTGGGGCCAAAAGCCCAACCAAACAGGGCCTACATCTGTTGTGAGTCCCTGTACATGCATGCCTTTTGGTGCCATGTGAAGTGTGATCACGAATCCTGAGCGCAGCAATTTCTACATGACAGAAGCTGTTGCATGCATGTCTGAAAAAAGGTCATGCGTGGAACATGGAAACAGAGCGGCCTTCGAAATACTCTATGGATATTCTTTTTTTTTAAATAGAAATATTCGACGGATAAGCTAGTTTCCCATGCTAAACCCTTGGAAACCGAGCAGCCTATAAGCCATGTGCATGGATAACTGGTTACAATCATTGGGCCACGTTTAGTGAAATGAAATGAAATAACCTGCTGCTGCCTGTTGGAGTCACCGACAAAACTTCCTGTTTGGCTTTGGGACCCACCCAGGCTTCCTCTCCTTTGGGACACACCTCCTCCAAAGCAAAGGCCAAAGTGGAAGAAGGCCTTGTTTAGATACACTCAAAATTCCAAGTTTTTTCACTCTCTCTCCATCACATCAATTTTTAGCTGTTTGCATGGAGCATTAAATGTAGGTAAAAAGAATAACTAATTGCACAGTTTAGTTGGAAATCACGAGATGAATCTTTTGAGCTTAGTTGGTCCACAATTGGACAATATTTACCAAATAAGACAAAAGTGCTACTATTCATCGGGTTGAAATTTTTTTCAATCTAAACAAGGCCGAAGAAGAAAACAAGGTTCTTTACTTCTTAGCCGTACCGTAGTATGGGTATGAATGGTTGCTGATTCCATCATCGTTTCATACTCCAAAGTTTCATCAAAGCTGCAGACCTACAGTATGTTTAGTAGCCAGCATGAATCCTAAAAGAACAGACGTCCTCACGACCTCACCGTTGGGACGCACACCACCTCAAAAGCAATGCAGAGGGGGGTTCTTCGCTTGCCTGCCAAAGTTTAATCAAAGCCTCATCTCGTGGAGAATCTGCTCCTGGAGCAGCTTTGCGTGTCATCCGGGTATTCTTTGCTCCTCTGAAACGAATGAAACTTTTTGCTTGTAAGAAGATATATGAGACGCCCGCCCTTCTTTTTCTTCTCCCCTACCCACGAAATCCAGCAGACACAGAGAACAGAGAGGCCACCACCATCTTGGGAGACTGCAAATCTCGCTTGGACCATCTTGGATGAATGCCAAGAGCAAGAGGTGTGTTCCATCGACCTTTGAGTTTGTTGTTATTGTTATTACAAAGGATGCAGCTCATGCATGCATTCCTTCCAGTCTTCTGCGACCATCGTGGCTAATTCAGTTGTGTTGCTTTATGCTGCATCGCATTTGCAGGGGTGTAATATTTTTGTGGCGATAACTTCATCTATTGGTTTTAACTACTACTGCTACTGCAAGTAATTCTCCACTCCCCAATCAAGGAAGAACGGTCACTTGGTCAGCTTCATAGTTCCATTGATGCAAGAGCTATCTAAAGTTACTTATTGATTAGGGGTGGTGTTTTCAGAAGGCCATACATGCTGTTATCTTTTATTTTCTAGGCCCCTGTATGGTTATTTCCTGGTGATGGACTCATCATAATTCTCTCCTTCCAGTTCATTACGGTAAATGGCTTGTCGTGATTAAAGTTAAACTCCATTTGCCCTGTTTCTATATTTGGGGGTGTTTTTTACTATCTTAAATGCAACTGTTGCATTCGAAGAGCTTCAGCTCCATACAGAACTATTCTTACTGCTCCTCCGTTGCCCTGTTTCCTCTGCTAAAGCTGCATCCAACTGTTCCTACATTTCAGAGAGGAATGGATTAGTACAAAGAACGATTGTTCTTGGGCCATCTAAGCTGCATCGGAAGAAGGGTGCTCTGTCAGGAACCTTTGCGAGTCATCCTAGGATTCATTCTAAGAGCTTGAGCTCCATACAGAAGTTTTGCTCATAATATAGCCAACACAGAGTAGAGGAAGAGAGGCGACGCGGCCAGGCAGCAGCCAGCAGGTAATGGTGTCTCTTCCAAGTTCCAGCGTTCTAGAAATAGGTGCATTTCCTTCGTTGCATCTTTTCTCTTACTAATTAAAGGCTTTAACGGAGATTTCACATTAGTATACGCTACAATGTGGATAAATTTGAAAATTAAAATTTATATTCATTATGTCATAAGATGTGGCCAACAACAAGAGCCACATAGTTAACGCTAAGGCTTCAACTAAATTCAAATTGGAAATAGGCAGATGAAATCGAAATTTTTTAAAAACTACGTATATGTATGAAAAAACAAAATCAGTAATTATTGATAAGTTTATCGCAGCTTGATGAAGCGTTCAGAATATCTATTGTACTAATGGAAGTATTAGTAGAGGTTTTACGTGCAAGTGCAACATGCCAAGTACTTTTTGAAATTGATAACATCAAATCTAGAGTACCTTAACTTAGAAAGGGACAAGAATGAAGCTAAGACAGGAGACTTTTCCCTGTGTGCCATTATAAAAGATCGCAATCCCCTGTGTGCCTCTGAAAAAATTCAGCGTCACTACTCCAACTTTTTCGTGTCCTCCATGCCACTTCCGTCAGTTCAGGCTCTAACGCCATTAAACTGCAGGTGTGAAAAGACGAAAATGCCCTTAAGTTCAAATATGTTATTAATTTTTTTTAGCATCTTAACGACTTCAAATGAAAAAACTCAAAACTAAAAAGTTATAGATCTCGTCGAGATCTATAATTTTCATATAAAAATTATTTTCATTTAATTCCGCAAAAAAAAATAATATGATTTTTCTAAGATATATTAATCATATCAAATCATATTTTTTTGCGGAATTAAATGAAAATAATTTTTATATGAAAATTATAGATCTCAATGAGATCTACAACTTTCTAGTTTTGAGTTTTTTAATTTGAAGTTGTTAAGATGCTAAAAAAATTTAATAACATATTTGAACTTAAGGGCATTTTCGTCTTTTCACACCTGCAGTTTAACGGCGTTAGAGCCTGAACTGACGGAAGTGGCATGGAGGACACGAAAAAGTTGGAGTAGTGGCACTGAAGACCGCTGAATTTTTCCAGGGGCACACAGGGAATTGCGATCTTTTATAATGGCACATATGGAAAAGTCTCGGGGTTTATACCTCAATATTTTACCTTACTACTCATTTTGTCAACCACCACCGTCATGCACCTAGTGTAGGGCAATGCTACGGTACCCTCTTTACTTATTAAGAGGTAATATCTCAAATAAATCCGCGCCATTGATTTTTTAAGGATTTTTGAGTTAATTATCTAATTAATTAATATAAGAAAAGAAAATAAACATCATTAAATCCTCACATCTCGGAAGAGAGAATTTTTAACTTTTTGCTAATATATACACGTACACACTACACGTACAAAAAATTTTGGACTCATGTTTGGATCCTTTCATTTGGAGGAATTGAAATCTACTTAATAAACTAGGCTATTTAGCTTGGAATTTGACATTGCACAACTTTCTAAAGTTCACATATAAGCCTATCTCAAATTCATAATGTGTGAGATGGAAATTGGTTCTATAGATCGCCATGTTATATTTCTACTTTGCAACTTATAATACGCTCTTCAACTCACTCTCCTAAGGTAGAAATGTAACACATAAGTATCTCTCTCGTATAATCAACAATAATATACAAATATAGTTCATATACAACCATATTAGCTTAATTAACATGTGTCTAAATTATGATTCTTACAATGAATTCAATTCAAGGATCCAAACGGGGCCTCCCAGTTCGCTTGAACTTATCAGCCTAGCTTATCAGCCATGGTACAGTATTTTTTTTCACAACAAATCAGCGAACAATACTTTTCAGCATGGCTTTTCAGCAGTTATGTTAAAGTTGTACGCCATTCATATTATATACTCAGTTAAAAAAATATGTTACATACTTGAATAATATTAACACCGTGAAGTTTTGTGTCCAACGTTAATAGCTGTCACATTATATATTGAGCATGTAACGTGAAGTTTTACGTATACACGTAAATTTCATGTATGTTGGACACGTCTTTTGGCATGTACACGTACATGTTGTAGTATATGTCTTGTGGACATGTACGTACGACAGTGTTACTTGCATAAACAAATAGGTAGTTTATATATGCTACCTAAATTATGTCATATCCAAAGTTACAAAAATAAAAAGATTTATCACACTCAATAGATCTTGTATGCATCAAATATCTAAAAATGATCTTTACATCTAGAACTTTCCTTATTTTATCCTATTTTCCAAAATTAAAAATTAACTAAATATTTATTTGACCTATTACCTCCTAGAAACTAATAGATGATTCTAGCCGTCTGATCTAATGAAGGGCTTACAGTCATTTGGAGGCACCATAGTAAATCTCCTTAGTGTATTATTAGTTTCTAATCCATATGGCATGGCATTATGCATGATTTACGGACAGTAGACAAAAGATGTTTATTCCTGTATATATCATGTCAACCACCACCGTCATGTACCTAGTGTATTATTAGTTTCTAATCCATATGGAATGGCATTATGCATGATTTATTGACGGTAGAGAAATGATGTTTATTCCTATATAACTTAATAACAAGGTGCACGAAAATTCTGGATGTGAGTTCACTATACTCATATAAAACCTATTGTACAAGGGCTTTGCTCTGACACTCCCAAATGACTGTGAAGCATTCATTTAATTCGATCAAATGGTTAAAATCATCTATTACCTACTAGAAAGTACATATATATTTATTTTAATTTTTTATTTTGTAAAACAGGATAAATAAGGTAATTTTTAGATATATAAAAATCTTTTTTCTACATCTAATTGATGCATGTGTAATCTATTAGATAGGGTAAATCTTTTTATTTTGGAACTTTGTATTGATCTATTTTAATTAGCATGTTAGTCTTTTGATGAGGCATGTAACGCTCCGTGTTAGGTACCGTCGTCATGTTAGCTCATGATTTTTTTATGCAACATGTCCCTCCCTCCTGTGTTAACTTGCGTATTTAAATGTATGTAAGATGTATATGCATGTTAAGATTAGGTGTATGATGCATGTAAACACATGTATACGCATGTAACATACATCTCCTATGTATTGTGTTAGCTAGCGTTAAGATGTATACATGTAACGTGCACACGAACTAAGAAATGAATGACCGCTTGCTTCTTGTACTCCCGTGATTACCGGATTTGAAAAATATTTTTTGTTATATTTATTTATTTATTTTATTAAATAATAAAAAATCAACGGTTCAGACTGATTTGAGCTATTACCTCCTATTAGGTAATGCGAGTACCGTAGCATTGCCCAACAAATCAGTAGTGGTACTCCCTCCATACTTAAAAATGAAGTTGTTTTGGACAAGGTTTGGGACAAACATTGCAAATATAAATCATGAATAACTTTTAAGTTATTGAGTTTGGAAATGTGAAAACCATACGAATAGATTTGCTTTGAAAAATACTTTCATAAAAATATATATATATATCACTTTTCAATAAATATTTTTTATAAAAATAAGAAGTCAAAATTATACTTTGAAAACCGTGTCGCTGTCCAAAAACGATTTTATTTTTTTAGTATGGAGGAGTACATGTTAAATTTAATGAATGTTATCACATTTGGAGACCAAGTTAACATGTCTTCTCATTCATTGCCCAGCCTCCAACTCTTTATGTGGATCTCCCTAACCATCTTGGTCTGATGGCAATCATACTTGAATCTTTTGTCGGATCATGCGCGAAGAAGTTGCAAGATATTGTTACGGAGGAGGCCATACTAATTTTAGGTGTTAAAGAAGAGCTCATAGAGCTGAAGAGAAGAATGGAGCAAATATGGTACTTTCTTAATGATGCAGAGAAAAGGAGCATAAAAGAATCTGCTGTTAACAATTGGCTTGGTCAGCTAAGAGATGCTATGTATGATGCTGATGATATCATTGACTTGGCCAAATCCAAAGGAAGCAAGCTATTGCCAGACCATTCTTCATTAGTATCAAGCAGTTCAAATACATGCAGTGGCCTTTCTCTTTCCTCTTGCTTTTTTAATATCAAGACACGTCATGAGATTGCAGTTAAGATTAAAAACTTAAACAAAAGAATTGATAATATTTCAAAGGATAAAGTATTTACTTCACTCAAGAGTACACAATCAACTGTAACAGTTTCTGTACCAAAACAGAGAAGAAGTTCCAGCCTTGTTGAGCCAAACCTTGTTGGTAAGGAGGTCTTACATGCTTGCAGAAAAGTAGTAGATTTGGTGCTTGCACATAAGGAAAAATGGTCTTATAAGCTTGCTATCGTTGGAACAGGAGGAGTTGGTAAGACAACACTAGCACAAAAAATATACAATGACCAAAAACTAAAAGGGATCTTCAACAAACAAGCATGGGTTTGTGTTTCCCAAGATTTCTCTGAAATAGCTATTTTAAAGGAGATTCTACGAAAAATTGAAGTACAGTACATGCCAGATGAATTAACCGATGAGCTCCAGAGCAAGCTAGAACTGTCCATTAAGGATAAGAGTTTTTTTCTTGTGCTGGATGATGTGTGGCAGTCAGACATATGGACAAATCTACTGAGAATCCCACTACATGCTGCATCCTCAGCAGTAGTTTTATTGACAACTCGATTTGACACTGTTGCTGTAGAAACCGGAGTGGACTATACACATCGAGTTGATTTAATGTCACTGGATATAGGATGGGAGTTACTATGGAAGAGCATGGGCATCAAAGAAGAAAAAGAAGTACAAAATCTACATGACTTAGGGATCGATATTGTTCGTAGATGTGGTGGTCTTCCCCTTGCAATTAAAGTCATTGCTAGAGTTTTGGCAACCAAAGATCAAACTGAGAATGAGTGGAAGAAGATTTTGGTAAAAGATGCTTGGTCCATGAGTAGTCTTCCTAGTGAAATAACAAGTCCTATATATCTAAGTTACGAAGAGCTGCCACACCATTTGAAGCAATGTTTTATCTATTGTGCTATTTTCCCTGAAGATTCGGTAATCTACCGTGATGATATTGTAAGGATGTGGGTCGCTGAAGGCTTTATAGATAAGCAAGATGACCGAGTCCTTGAAGATATAGCAGAAGAATACTACTATGAGCTGATCTATCGAAATCTCCTCCAACCAGATTATTACTATTCTGTTGATCTTACTCAATGTAGAATGCATGATCTACTAAGGCAGCTTGCTTGTCATTTGTCCAGAGCAGAACTTTTTGTTGGTGATCCAGATTCAGCAGGGGTTACTGTTATGAGTAAATTCCTACCGTATTTCAGCAGTCACTATGAATGATATGGTTGTGTTACCTAGAATAGATAAGGGGAAATGTAAAGTGAGAACTTGGAGAACATCTTATACAAAGTCTTTGAGAGTTGATGATACAATATTTGAAAGATTACCATGCATTCGAGTTTTGGATTTGACAGGTTCACAGATACAAGCTGTTCCACCTTGCATTGGACGTTTGATCCACCTACGGTTACTAAACCTTGATGGGACTGACATATCTTCTCTTCCAGAGTCCATCTGTTGTCTCATAAACCTTCAGATATTGAATTTGCAGAGTTGTGATTCTTTGCATAGTCTTCCTTCAGGAATAACTCAGCTATGCAACTTAAGGCGACTTGGCCTACAGGACACACCAATAAATGAGGTTCCAAAAGGTATTGGTAGATTAATTTCTCTCAACGATTTACAAGGCTTTCCTGTTGGTGGCTCTTGCAACAATTCTAGAATGCAAGATGGATGGAACCTAGAAGAACTAGGTCCGCTTTTGCAGATGAGGAGGCTTGCTATGATCAAACTGGAAAGAGCAGTTCCTCCTAGTAAAGATTCATTGCTAGCAAACAAAAACCATCTCAGACAATTATTCCTAGGTTGCAGTGAACACATACACGAGCCATATTCTGAAGATGTTGTAATCAATATTGAGAAAACTTTGGATTTGCTAATCCCTGCGCACAACCTGGAGGGTCTCAATTTTAGGAATTTCTTTGGCCGGAGGTTTCCCACCTGGCTAGACACTGCTGCCCATTTGCCTTCATTGAAATACTTGCAGCTCATAGATTGCAAATCATGTATGCATCTTCCACCAATCGGTCAGCTCCCCAACTTGAAATATCTGAGAATCCAGGGACCCACTGCAGTCACCAAGATTGGACCCGAATTTGTTGGCTCTGTGGTGGGTAATCTCAGATCTACGGAGGCAGTAGCTTTCCCCAAGCTTGAAACATTGGTCATCTGGGATATGCCCAACTGGGAGGAGTGGTCCTTTGTTGCTGAAGAAGAACAAGAAGAAACAACAGCAGGTACGGAAGGGGGAGAGGGTGAGGCTGCTGCAAATCAAAAGTGGGATGCCCCACCTCCAAGGATACAGCTGCTGCCACGACTGAAGAAGTTGGACCTTGTCCGCTGCCCCAAGCTGAGAGCTCTCCCACGGCAGTTTGGACAGGAGGCCACCAGCTTGAAGGAGCTCATTTTAAGACATGTGCACAGCCTTAAGGTGGTGGAGGACATCTGTTTCCTCTCAGAGCTCCTTTTAATATCAGATTGCGAAGGCCTAGAGAGGGTCTCCAATCTTCCCCAAGTGAGAGATCTACGTGTACAGCTGTGTCCCAACTTGAGGTGTGTTGACAGATTGGACAACTTGCACCAGCTGTTTCTGACAGAGGATATGGAAGGTGCCTCATCACAGTGGCTGCCTGGACTCCAAGAGCATCACCAACAGCTGCACGGAGAAGACATGGATGTCTACAATTGGATATAGTGAACGTACAGACATGCCGAATGAGATGGCTATGAAGATATATGTAAGCTATGACCCTTGTCTGAATTTTCTAATTTGGTTAGATGTTTATCTTCTCTGCTTTTAATTATCCATGCCCGTTTTCAATTATTTATAGGTAATCTGGCATTGAGGGCGGAAGAGACGACTAGAGTCTAGAATTTGTCTCATTGATATCCATCAGGGTGCCTTATTACGCTGGGCAGGATAGTACGGACGCGTGTCTCGTGTCAAGCTGATGCAAGGAGTTGAAGAATTTGGTGCTCTGCTTATCGAGGAAGGAGAAGATGCGTTTTGGTGTCTCTTGATCAAGTGGCGCATGTGTCTGAATAACCAGTGTTTTGTTTGCGTATGTATCTGAATAAGGTCGTGATATATACTGCCGGTGTTTTTTAGTCTTGTTTTTTCTTCTTCTTTAAGTCGTGCGAAACATTACATACGTTGTTTGGAGCCCCAGCGTGTACTTTTACTGCTACGTACATATTGGTGAACGTATAGGCTGAGGTACATACATATTCCACTGTGCCCATCGGTTGATTCATATCTGCTTTATAATCCAAAATCCCACAAACTATATCCACTGTACCTCTAGGTTAGTTTGGGACTAGTCCATCAACCCGTGCTCTCGCACTTGCTAGAATCTTATAAGAGATATTAGTTTATTGTCTAATGTCTCTAGATGTTTAAAAGTACTTGCATTAAATTGTACTTCTCTTTGTTCATTTTCTAACACGATAGACACACCGATTGCACTCTTAAGTACAATGATGGCCTAAATGGTCACTTCAAACCTACACCACATTGCTTAAGATCAGTTTAGAGCTTGGCAAGTGATCTAGGATGGGTAGTTGTGCTAAACTCAAGAGGATATTAATGTTTAAGCCTTATAATGACTTTTTGCACCTAAAAAAAACTCGACCTGCGGGGGGTACGACGGCCCCCGGGTTTTTCCCTTTAAGAAGAAGATCTTTTCATACAGATCGAGAAAACCCCCGAACCCCCGCCCCCAGCCTGACGCGGTGGTACCGTAACCCTGTGAGAACGCGGTGGTACCGTAACCCTGTGAGAACCGGGCCAGGGCCAAACTGCGCTTTGGCACCTGGGGGCGGGCGAGGGGATTTTTTTAACCTCAGCCTGAAATTCGCTTCCACGGGGAGTCGAACTCAGGACCTGAGGAGTACCGCCGAGCCACCTAACCGCTTGGACTAGGCGCCCTTTGGCACTTTTTGCACCTAAGAAATCTCAAAGAACAGGAAGATATAGCCACGTGTAGTCTACAATATCGTCCCCACCTTGTCAAGACATTTGAATTTTATTGCCAAAGAGTTACTTATGCAGTAATGATTATACTATTAATAAAGATATGTGAAATGTTTTAGTTGAAGTGTATAAATTATGTAAGTAATAATTTATACATTATATGTCATGGTTATTAATAATTTTAAATAATCTGTTAGTATCATTAGTGTGGGAAGTCTTTTACATGATTGCTAAAACATAACATATATATTTATGTATCACGTATGCACAAGTATATAATGTGCATGTACTTTAATCAAATTTGAATATATTGCCTTGTCTTCTCCTGCTAACAGAGACAGAGTAACACTCTCCTGTTCAGTGAGTGCAAGGCGCTACTCTGTTTTCCACACTACCAACTCGATCTGCTGACGGCAGGCAAACTGCAGAGAGGTGTTGCAAGTGCTACTGTTTGTCATTGTAGTCAGTTCTGGGCGGCGCGTGTTGATGCCAAGCTAAGACATCACGGAGGATTATATCTTGTGGCCTTGCAGCTGCGTGTGTGCCCATCCGCCGCGAATCGAACTCAGATTTCTTTGCAAGGGAATTCACAATGCATCGAGGAGGTTAATTCATTTCATTTGTGAAGATGTGCAGTCAGATTTTAGGCGTACGTCTACCACCTGTATGTACATATGCACCTGCAAAGTTCCACTGTTCTAGGCATGTAGCTCTTGCCATTTGTGCACATCAATCCCATCTTGATGACGATCACCTAATAAAAAAAATTCCTGGACCAAGTTTTAACTAATGTTAAGGTTGCTTTCCTCGACTCGAAATTCAAGCGTGTTGGTAGTTTGGTAGTACTCCCTCCATCCCAAATTATAAGTCATTCTAGGAATCTTGGAGAGTTAAAGCATCTCAAGTTTGATCAAATTTATATGATAAGATAATAACATTTATAATGCCAACTAAGAATCATTAGACTTTTTATTAATTATATTTTTATAGTATACCTATTTGATGTCACAAATCTTTGTAATTCTGTGTATAACTTTGGTTCCAGAGTATTAGTTTTTTCTGGTATCCAGCTCTCTTTCCGTGACATTTTTCCTTTTTTTGTTCTTTTTTTAATCTCTCTTGTTTTTCTTATAAACACAAATAATAAATCCATTACTATGGGTCTTTGAACTCTGAACCCTTCTATCTATAACCCCTAATAAACAAATATTCCACCACTAAGTTGCAAGTTGTTGATAAATATTATATATAAAATTTATTTATTATTAGAGCCTCGATCAGCTGATGGTCCAACTAATCAAATCGTGAACTAAAATCTTCATCAGTTTGCCATCTAATCTAATCAAAATAAATGTATCTCCATGCTGTAGGCATACACAACTCCAATCCTCGACGAGGGTTGCCATATGGAAATTGAGAGGGAGGTCTCCAACAATAACTTACTTCTTGCTGACTTTAATCAAATATTAGAATTATGTATTTTTATGGGTTCCAAAGAAATCACAAAACTCAATATATGACTCTACCAACACATACATAGTACGAAAAGCAAGATTATGATATTTACAGGTACGGCCTCGTTTTGCACGGCTTCTGCACCGGCTTCAGAAGTTGTTCGCCTGCTAGCCTAGCCGGACAACATGGGAGGGAGCGCGTCGGGCCACCGGTATCGTGAGTGCGGCCATCGAGAGGGCGCGAGGGCCACCAACATCGGTGAGTGTGATGGAGATGGCAAGGCGCCACGGCCTAGGCAACGGGAAGAGAAGGAGATGGAAAAATAGAAGGGAAAGTGTAACACCCCAGGCACCACAGAGCCCAAGATGTCACTAACGTCCCTTCCCTGGTGCCAAAGTCTAAAATTTGGCCACATAAACCCATGAACCAAGTAAAACGGGGAAGCAACAACAAGACAAAACTATGGTTAAAAAAAGGTTCTACCTCAGTTAATATTATTAAACCACAAAAGGTCATCATGACTGATAAACTAATTTTATTACATCAAGACAAATGTATCATTATTATCTCTATGTGTGGGTGAATCTGTGAAGATGTGCCGCTAATCCCATTACCTTCCATGCAAGCATCAAGTACCTAGGTTGAGTAATGCAAGGGTGAGATGAAACATCTCAGCAAGCAAATTTGTTTTGACAACTATTTAAACCACAATTTGAATTAAATAACGATTTAATGTTGAATTCCACTTATAGAATAAACATGATAGAATATCAATATAAAAATGAGTGCCTTCCAATTTAGAACATTGCCATATGATAGAGCTTCATAATAATAGGGACATATCACTTCAATATACTTCGTGAATGCATATGAATGCAATGCGAAAATGACTCCTGCATGCACACCCAACAAGGTGTGGAGCTGCATCCCATGATGCTGTACCGGTACGGTCGTGACCATAGGTCAACGACATAACTTCCAATGCACATGAATGATGCAATGCACATGGATGCTGCAATAAAAACCACATAAACCACCAATGATACTTCAACTTCATCTTCAAGGGGTATGGATTAATCTCATATGCCAAGACAGAATAATAGCAACACCATATATAGATAATTAAGACATCCACTAAATAAGATTGGATAGACAAAGATCACAAAGTTTGATTATTAGTAGTATGAAATTATTATTGACATTATGCTGTAGGCGATAAAAATAACAAGCCAAAACGGTAGCAAACCACTGCTACATTCACTTGCCTCCAATATCGAAGTCGTACAAGAAAATCGCTAAGCACGATCAGAAGTACCACCACCGACAAACTCAAGATAGTGATCACTGTTCTGCATATTGTAACAGCGCTGATTCATTTCATCATATCTTTTAATTTATAATAGGTATGATAGGAAACAAATACATCTTCGAAATCTATTGGAAAAAGCCTACAACTTTTGTTCAGTTACTTTAATTATATTCTAGATGCTACAAGGCACAAAATGCATCATAAAACAGACTATACCAACTGTCTGACAGTTTCAGGGAGCTGAGGCGAAAAAACCATATCTCCTAAACCACTTGTCCTAAAATTCTGAAACTTCACCAAATCATCTAACATTAGGTGAACAACAACTTTGTAGTTTTAGTTGTTCAGAGATTCGATAAATAAGGTAACCTAAAACAGGGCTATATCACAATTAACACTTTCTGAACATTCGGAAACAGCAGTCAATTCAGCCATCCATATCTCAAGAACGAATCTGTACAAAACTCTGAGTTTTCTATAAAAGAAAGACAATAGCGTTATCTACAACTTTCTTATTATACATATTTTGAGTAAAAATCGTTTTGATGGCCGAAACCACCAAAACAGCCACGCCAGTCAGGCTGCCAAAGAGCAGAACCTACAATCGGAAACCTAACGATGATTGTACCCCATCTAAACAGCAATCTCCAAGATCAAGAAGAATCTAACACATCAATTACCATGGATAAAAGATTATACACCTTACCTATGTTTTCCCCAAACTTAGGGCAGCAACCAAAGGATGAGGGAAAAGCTGATCTGCGTCCAATATGCACCACTCATCGATCCCCTTCTCCTCAATCCATCTTTCTCCTTTTCCCATGAAATTTCTGCTATGTAGGAGGTGCTAGGGAAGGAGAGGGCGCTGTGGGAAGAGGAGCGGGCGTCCTGGAGGTCGAGCAGAGGGAAGGGGAAAGGGAAAAATGTTTTCCTACTGCCCCCGTCTATAGGGTTTACG